CACCCAGACTGCGCGCGCCCCAGGCACGGGGCGCTGCTCGGTCGGCCCCGACGGCCCTTGCTGCCCCGGGGGAGCAAGTGGCGAGGACGACGGCGCCGACGGCGGCGCCGGGGCGCAGGCGTCGAGGAAGAGATCGCGCACATGTCGGCGGCGCCAGGGGCAGTCGCGCACGAGGCGCTCCTCGGAGTCGCACTCGCGGCATTTGAGTCGCAGGGCCCGCGGGCTTGCGGCCCGAGCTCGCGCCCGCGGCCCTGACATCCCCTGCCCCTCTGACCTTTGCCCAAGGTCTCCCAGAGGTCGTTCTCGGATAGCATGGCTAGGGAAGCGCGGTAGGTTTTGCCTTTGCCCTTGCCCTCTCGTTCGAAGACCCTCCGAACGCGGCGCGCGGGCTCGCGGTCGCTGAAGCTGCGCCAGCGTGCTTCGGCGCGCTCGCAAACACCCTTCGGCGTCGGCGCCCGAGTCGATCACCGCTGCCGGGCGCGCCCCCTGCGCCAGCGGCGCCGCGCTAGAACCTCCTGACGCGGCCTCGGCAGGCACAGGGGGGCTCGGCGCCGATCCCGGCGTAGCTGGACCCATGCCGCCCCAGCTCTGTTCCTGCGCGGGCGCGCCCGCGAGGAACGCGCGCCGTTGGGCAGAGAGGACCGCCGAGGCGAGGTTGCCTGACGATCCCTCTATCACGCGCCCAAAGCGCTTCAGCTGGCCTGTCACGGAGAGCTGCTGAGCGCTCGCGGGGCATGGGCCACGCCGCAGTGCTGCAGGAGCACGGCGGGTTAAGTGCTTGACACACCAACGGCGCGCAGCAGGAGGAAGCTGAGCCCCTCGTAGCCGATCATGATGCGACCAGCTGACTATGCCCGATTGCGGAAGATGTCGAACCTCGCGAAGAAGTTGCCGATGCGCCCCTGCAGCAGTCGGTTGATATTCATGAGAGCCCATACTGCCGAGCTGCGCTCCGCCTCGCCTAGCTGGCCCCATCGTTCGGCCAAGCTGCGCCGATGGAAGGTCATCGGCGGTGCTGGGTTGCCGTTGATGAGACCTCCCTGGATCAGGACAGCCAGCGGCCAGTCGTCCACGCACTCGTGCGCCACGCCGGCAGGGCGCGACGAAACGTAGGCCGCCTGGCGAAACTCGTTGAGGTCTCGGTTCGCCACCGAACAGATCATCACCTCGCGCACTCGTGTCTGGAAAAGCACGCAGGACTGGTGCTCGAGCCCCCAGGCGCGGAGGCGGCGCATGTTGCCGCTGCCGCCACCTGCGTCCACGCACGCGATGCACCTTGCGATGGCACGCGCACGCCGACTCCGATGGCCTCCCATCCGGAATGTGGCCCCCTCCACATGTCGTGGAGGTGCTGGCGGCCGGGGGTCCTCAAGCGGCGTCGCACGGGTCGCCGAGGATACTTGCTCCGGATGTTTTCCTCGTCGTCAGCGCATTGGGCGCCTGCTTCTGTCGCGTCACTGCGGCGCGCGCGGTACTCGGAGCACCCCGCGACACAGGCGCAGGAATGCGATTCATACGTCACGTGGTCTCCGAAAAAATTGCACAACCGCCTGGGGGAATGCGCATCGGGTTTCCGTCCTGCCAGGCTGGCGGGTCTGAGCAGGCAAAGCAACTTGTTGGGCCCCGAGACGCGGTGCCTCGGAGTGATTGCGCCCCAGAAGCCATGCCTTCCATTGCAGCACCTCGGGGGGGTGAAAACACAGTCCCCAGGCCCCCCACTGCGTCCCCGCTCGGCGCCAGCGACGCAGTCGCCGGATGCCTCTGCTTGCTTCCCCCAGGGCTCTCGTGACACAGTCCCAAGAAGCTCGGGACCCTGGCGCCGCATGCGTGAACCTGACGTCATAGAGCTGTCTAACACGTGAGGCTCCCCCCACGGGCGGGGGCACTGACAGTTCGGGGTCCGCGAACTGCCTGGACACAATCCGAGCATGCCCGGGATGGATCGCAGAACGGTCCTTGTCGATCTCGGTGGCGTTGTCCTTGATGAAGTACTGGTTGCGCAAGTTCTCGGCCACTGGTCCTGGCAGATGGGCGGACGGCCCGACGGACCCTCGTGCAACGTATCCTGCCATAGTGAGCGAGAAGAGGTGCACGAAGGCGGAGGTGTTGCAGGCGGTGCGCACGCTCCCGGTCGCGGGTTCTAGCGGACGGGTTGGCACAGCACCGACGGACCCTAGAGCAACGTCTCCTGCCACGGCGAAGTGGGAGAAGTGCACGAAGACGGGGAGGTTCAAGGCGATTGACCGAAGCCGAAGGCGGCGGAGGGTGGAAGCAATTGCGGTCGACGCGAAGCGAGACATGGCGGCCGTGGTGGGAGCAGGGGTGAGCCTGCTCCGCTACCAACTAGAAATGAAGCTGTAGGAAGTGTTATGGACATGCGCATGTCTTTTGTCTGAAGGTGGAATGTACAATCAAATGCTGACGGCGCGAAGCGGGTTGGCACGGAAGCGCTGCCGGCTCCCGTACCCCAGGGCCGAAAAGGCAGCGGACAAGCTGTGTGAGGAACAAACAAAACAGCAGGAAAGGGGACAGACTGGCCTTCGAGGAGGAGGAGGAGGAGGAGGAGGAGGAGGAGGAGATCCCGAGGATAACGGCACGCTCAACGTCAAAGAGGAGGAGGAGGACAAGGAGGAGGAAAGTAGGAGGAGGCCGAGATCCCGAGGATTACAATGCGCCCAACGTCAACGAGGAGGAGGCGGTAGAGGAGGAGGAGGAGGCGGAGGAGGAGGAGGAGGGAAGGACGACGACGACATCCCGAGGATTACAGTCCGCCCAACGTCAAAGAGGCGGAAGAGGAGGACGACGAGATCCCGAGGATTATAGTCCGCTCGGCGTCAAAGACCAGAAGGAGGCGGAAGAGGAGGACGAGATCCCGAGGATTATAGCCCGCTCGACGTCAAAGAGGAGGAGGAGGAGGAGGAAGAAGAAAAAGAGGAGGACGAGGAGGAGGAGAAGAACGAGGAGGAAGGAGAGGAGGAGGACGAGATCCCGAGGAATGAAATCCGCTCGACATCAAAGAGGAGGAGGAGGGGGAGAAGGAAGAGGAGGAGGAGGACTAGATCCCGAGGATTACAGTCCGCCCAACGTCAAAGAGGAGGAGGAGGAGGAACAGGACGACGACGAGATCCCGAGCATTATAGTCCGCTCGACATCAAAGAGGAGGAGGAGGAGGAGGAGATCCCGAGGAATCTAATACATTCGACGTCAAAGAGGCAGAGGAGAAGGAGGAGGAGAGGAAGGACGAGGAGGAAGGAGAGGAGGAGGACGAGATCCTGAGGAATGAAATCCGCTCGACATCAAAGAGGAGGAGGAGGAGGAGAAGGAGGAGGAGGAGGAGGAGGAGGACGAGAGCCCGAGGATTGAAGTCCGCCCAGCGTCAAAGAGGAGGAGGAGCAAGAGGAGGACGAATCCCGAGGATTACGGTACGCTGGGGGAGGAGGAGGAGGAGGAGGAGGAGGAGGAGGAGGAGGAGGAGGAGGAGGAGGAGGAGGAGGAGGAGGAGGAGGAGGAGGAGGAGGAGAAGAAAGAGGAGGAAGGGGAGGAGGAGGACGAGATCCCGAGGATGAAAAACCCGCCCAACGTCAAAGAGGAGGAGGAGGAGGAGGAGGAGGAGGAGGAGGAGGAGGAGATCCCGAGGTATATAAACCGCTCGACATAAAAGAGGAGAAGGAGAAGGAGAAGGACGAGGAGGAAGGAGAGGAGGAGGGCGAGATCCCGAGGATTAAAATCCGACCAACGTCGAAGAGGAGGAGGAGGAGGAGGAGGAGGAGATCCCGGGGATTACAGTACGCTCAACGTCAAAGAGGAGGACGAGGAGGAGGAGGAGGAGGAGGAGGACGAGGAGGAGGACATCCCGAGGATTCCAGTCCGCTCGACGTCAAAGAGGAGGAGGACGAGATCCCGAGGATTACGGCACGCTCAACGTCAAAGAGGGGGAGGAGGAAAAGGAGGAGGAAAGTAGGAGGAGGCCGAGATCCCGAGGATTACAATGCGCCCAACGTCAAAGTGGAGGAGGAGGAGGACGAGGAGGAGGACGAGATCCCGAGGAATATAGTCCGATCGACGTCAAAGCGGAGGAGAAAGGGAAGAAGAGCAGGAGCAGGAAGGAGAGGACGAGGACGAGATCCCGCGGATTAAAATCCACCCAGCGTCGAAGAGGAGGAGGAGGAGGAGGAGGAGGAGGAGAAGGAGGAGGAGGAGGAGGAGGAGGAGGAAGACGAGATCCCGAGGATTACAGTCCGCCCAACGTCAAAGAGGAGGAGGAGGAGGAGGGGAGGAGGAAGGAGGAGGAGGAGGAGGAGGAGGAGGAGGAGGAAGGGGAGGAGGAGGATGACGACGAGATCCCAAGGAATTAAACCCGCCCAACGTCAAAAAGGAGGAGGACGACGAGATCCCGCGGATTATAATCCGCTCGACGTCAAAGAGGAGGAGGAGGAGGAGGAGAAGGAGGACGAGGAGGAGGAGGAGGAGGAGGAGGAGGAGGAGGAGGAGAGGAGGGGGACGAGATCCCGAGGATTACAGTCCGCCCAACGTCAAAGAGGAGGAGGAAGAGGAGGAGGACGAGATCCCGAGGAATATAATCCATTCGACGTCAAAGAGGAGGAGGAAGGGAGGAAGAGCAGGAGGAGGAAGGAGAGGAGGAGGAGGAGGACGAGATCCCGAGGATTCAAATCCGCCCAACGTCGAAGAGGAGGAGGAGGAGGACGACGAGATCCCGCGGATTAAAATCCGCCCAACGTCGAAAAGGAGAATGGGGAGGAGGAGGAGGAGGAGGAGGAGGAGGACGAGATCCCGAGGATTATAGTGCGCCCAACGTCGAAGAGGAGGATGAGGAGGAGGAGGAAGAGGAGGAGGAGGACGTGATCCCGAGGAATAAAACCCGCCCAATGTCAAAGAGGAGGAGGAGGAGGAGGAGGACGAGATCCCGAGGATTATGGTGCGCTCGACGTCAAAGAGGAGGAGGAGGAGGAGGAGGAGGCCGTTTTTTCTTGTCCGACTGCCTCCGCGCGCAGGCGCCGCGGACATGCTCGCGGTCGCGCGGGGCAGCGCCCAGACCTCCGACGATCTGAGCTTCTCCATCGTGGCGCCCTCCCTCCGTTGCGGCCGCTGCTCGGGCCCTGGGGGCCATCGACCACCCCAGCAGAGCACCCGAGTGGCAGTCCGGGCGAAGAGGCCGGTCGAGGAGTGGGAGGTCGGCCAGTGAACAGGTGCCTTCCTGGGTGCTCCCAGGGGTTCCTGGGGAGGGGCTCCTTGGTGTGCCAGGGGTGTGAGCACGCCGGCGTGCACCGTGGTGTGTTCTTCTGCACGGGATCGTGACCGTCCGGACCAAAACCGCAGACGGCATGAAAGCGCGAGCGCGATTCGAACAACTCGAGAGGAAGTCTCGGGCGAAACGGCTGCCCGACCAGGCGGTCCAGGGCTTCCAGTCCCCCCCTTGTGGGACCCTTCTGCTGTCCCTTCGTGCAGCTGCGCGAACCCTGTGGGCGAAACGCTATGCGGGAAAAACGGGCCTGGGACCTCCTCCTCCTCCTCCTCCTCCTCCTCCTCCTCCTCCTCCTCCTCCTCCTCCTCCGCCTCCTCCTCCTCCTCCTCCTCCTCCTCCTCCTCCTCCTCCTCTGCAAAAGCCGCCCCAGGACGTGGACGTGGAGCTCTGGGGCCGCGGATGGAAAACGCAGATCGGCGGATGCCGGGGAAGGGAGGGGGGGCAGAGCCTGAGCCTCGGCGCCCGCTCGCGAGCGCGAGTGCCCTGGCCAGCGGCCGCGGAGATACGGCCGGACCTGGGACAGAAGAGCGTCCTGCAAGAACGCGAGGCCCTCCGCCGGCCAGATCGAAGAACACTCGAGGGTGCCCCCCCCCCCAAGATACACCAGACGCCCAGCAAGCACGAGGAGCATCAAAGTACCCTACCCGAACCGACCTCGATCTTGCACCTCGGTCCGACTGCAGGAGGTGTGGGATGGAGGGGGGGGGGGGATAGGGCGTCGCCATGATGAAAGTGCCCCTGGCGCCAGAGGTGCCCCAAGGATTCCCCGGGCTCGAGGGGCCCCAGGAGGCCCCCGGAGCACTCCTCGCGCGGCCCCGGGTGCCCCAGGGGCTCCAAGAGAGCGGGGGAGGCCACGCCTGGCCTAGGATGGCAACACTCGAAGGGCAGGTGGTGACTTTTTCGCGATGGTGCAACTTCTCGCGACGTCGGATCTCGGGGGGGGGGGCCGCGACAGGAGAGCGGGACAGGGGGGGGGAAGAGCGGGGCAGCGGGGAAGACGAGGAGGGGGTGAAAGGGCGGAGGAGGGGGGGGGAGGGGCAGGAATGGGGAGAGGGAAGGGAGGAGAACGAGGGGAAGCGTGAGGGGGAAAGGAGGAGCGCTTGGGAAGAAGAGGGAGGGGAGAGTGAAGGGAGGTCCAATAGAGGGGGCAGGGAGAGAGGGGCAGAGGATATGGCAGAGGGACATCAAGACAAAGACCACGAAGGGGGGCGAGATGGCCATGGAACAAGGGACAAAAGAGCAATAGAGAAGGGTAAGGGGGGAAGAGGGAGGTGCAGGAGGGGCGGGGGGAGTAGGAAGATCAGGAGAGGGACTGGAACGCGGAGTGGGAGTGGGAGTGGGAGAACGAGGCGGACGAGGACGAGTGGGGGAAGGGTTGCAGGAAGAGGAGGAGGAGGAGGAAGAGGAGGAGGAGCAGGCGGAGGCGGAGGAGGTTGAGGAGGAGAGGAGGAGAACGACGACGGCGAGGGGCAAGGGGGAAGGGGGGGGAGGGCGGAGGGGGAGGAGGGCGAGGGAGGAGGACGAGGGAGGAGGGGGAGGGGCGGGAGGGGGAGGAGGGAGGAGGACGAGGGAACGGGAAGCGGGAGGGGGATGCTGCCGGACGGCAGCGCTCCGGCGAGCGTCCGCGCGCGCTCGCCCGCGGCAGCCGCGGGCGGCGCGGCGGGTCTTTCTGCTGGCGAGCGTTCCGCTCCGCCCCGGCCGGCCGCGGGCACGGCCGGCCCTGCCGGGGGGGGAGGGGGGGGAAGCTCACGTGGCGGGGTTCGCGCGCTGCGGGGATCAGGCGCTGGTGGAAGCCGGGCCTGCACAGCCATGCAGGAATACGCCGGGCCACAGGGAGAGAGAGAGAGAGAGAGAGAGAGAGACACACACACATATATGTATAGATAGAGAGACAGATAGGAAAAAAACAGGAAAACAACAAGCAACAAGCATGTTTGTGTGTATGCCTGTCTGTCTGTCTGTCTCTGTCTGTCTCTGTCTGTCTCTGTCTGTCTCTGTCTGTCTCTGTCTGTCTCTGTCTGTCTCTGTCTGTCTCTGTCTGTCTCTGTCTGTCTGTCTGTCTGTCTGTCTGTCTGTCTGTCTGTCTGTCTGTCTTTGTCTGTCTGTCTGTCTGTCTGTCTGTCTGTCTGTCTTTGTCTGTCTGTCTGTCTGTCTGTCTTTGTCTGTCTGTCTCGGTCTGTCTGTCTCTGTCTGTCTGTCTGTCTGTCTGTCTGTCTGTCTGTCTGTCTGTCTGTCTGTCTGTCTGTCTGTCTGTCTGTCTGTCTGTCTGTCTGTCTGTCTGTCTGTACATGTCTATCTATACATACATCTATATTATGTGTCGATATCTATGTATATATATATGAACATATAAAATATAAACGGCGTCCAACGGGCCTACGAAATCCATCGCGCCCACCTCGCGACTAGCCAGCCACGTCGGGGAAACGAGATCCGCGACCCGCTCCCCGCGATGGGTCGCGGCGCCCCCTCCGCAGCTGAGTTTCTTCTGGCGGGCCTCGCGGGAGACCTCCTCGAGCGCCGGCGGATCGTCGTCGTCGTCGCAAGCCGAGCCACTGCCCAGCGCGGCGCTGGGTTCGACCTCTGGAGAGGCGGTCTGCTCCGCCCAGAAGTTCCGAACCTGGCCGCGGGGTAGTTCAGCGAGTGGGCAGTCCATCGGCACTGGCACTTTACGCCCTCTGCCGCCTCATTTCCCGAGCTCTGGGCGCGCGCGGATCCGGCCTCGACGAGCTTTTCGACTAGGAGGGGCAGGAGAGACCGGCGCCGGTCCGGCGAATCGCCCGGCGGTGCGCAGCGCACGTCCCCCGCAGCACCCGCCGCTTTGCCCGCACCGAGAGACGCCCCGACCCACGGCACCGGAGCCGCGCCCGGAGCTCGTGAAGGATTCCCGCAGGGCCGCCTTATAGTTGCGGCCGCCCTTGCGGTCCCCTTTTCCCTTCAAGCCCTGGCTCTGACCCTTCAGGTCGTCCGACTTGCCCTTGCCGCAGCCCTGGCTGCCGCAGTTCTGGGCGCGGTGGCTCTGGTAACCCTGGTTGCCACGTTGCTGACAATAACCCGGCTGTTCGGGGTCGAGCGGCGTCTGCAAGCGCTGCTCCCGGGCAAGAACCTTGTCCTCCGCACGGTCCAAGAGCGTCGCGTCGTCGGGGGGGGCAGCTCGCACCATGCGGCCATCTCCCAGTGCCCGTCCTCGAGGCCCTCTCGACTGCCTTCGACCTCTGGCCCAAAATGTCCGCCCTCAACTTAGCGCTTTTCGGCCAACAGGTCCAAGGCTGCGCAAATCGTCTTGGTCTCCGTCGAACTCCGCAGCCGCACGTTGGGGTTCTGAAGCTGGGGGATCGCGAACCAGCAGCGCATGGCACCTCTCTGTGTCTGCGAGGACGTCGCTGTGGACGCCCCCCCCCCCCCGCGATCGGACGAAGCCCCATTCTCGCAAGCAGCCTTTGGGCCAGCCGACGTGGATGCCGCACCGCGCACTCCAGCTGGCGGCTGCGCGACAGCTGCCCGCGCGAGGGGGAGGCCGAGTGAAAACTCGAAGCACGGCTCGGACTCCAGCCCCTTCTGTCCATCGGCGCGCTGGCCCCTTCGGGGCCCCAACCCGTCCACGAAGACCTCCAGCCCTGCCGCCGACTCGGGCGCCCTCGCGACCTCGCCCTGGACCTCCTGCTCCGTCCCGAGGGAGACGGGCCCCGGACCCCGGGGCCTTCCCCCAGGACGCGGCCGCCTTCCCGAGTCGCGCTCTGCCAGCCTCGGGGCCCGCGGAGGGGCCCGCGAGCCCGAGAGACAGCGCCAAAAACTGCAGGGCCCGTTTCCCTCGGGACACGTTCCCCCCCCCTGGCGAATCAGTGCATCTTTGTTTCGAGGGCTGAAAATCCAGCCCCATACTAGAACCGCCCCGACACGCGAAGTCGTTCGGTAGACACGCCCGAAGGAAGGAATCGAACAGGGCAGGGTTGTCTAGAAAACGCCCAGGACCGTTCAGCAAACGCCTACTTGGTCTGGCCCGGGGTGGTTTTTGCCCCCCTTGACCTCCTCCCTACCTGCCAGACGACCCCACCCAACCTGGCCCGAAGAGCAAGATTTCGGGGTGGGGGGGCACGGGCTCCGCATGTGTGCTTACAATGCTCCCAATGCTCCCCGACGCCCCCCCCCCCCCCACTGGGAATGGAGGGCTAATTGGGGCCTTCGGGCTGGGCTGGGGTGGCGTGGTGTGTGGTGACCTCCATTTCACCCTCAATTCGATGGGAATGCAGTAACTTGTCAAGGGTGGGGGGCGAAACGTAGCCTGCCGCAGACACTTACCGTCAATTGGGTGCCCGTGCAAACTGAAGGCTTCGGTTCAGTTTCACGCATACCGCTGCCGTCTCGTCCGCCTCGCAGCCACCCGGTTCGCCGATCTGAACGGGTGTTCAGCGCATACCCGCGATTGTCGCGCACAGGAAGATGCATTACATGAAAGGAGGAAGAGGAGTCTCCTAAGGTAACGCGCGCTGCTCGGAATTCCTGTTTGGGGTCATCAGCGCTTCATCGCTATTCTCTCAAGGAGCTGGTGGCGAATGAGGAGACCCAGTAGCGCAGCGTGTGTACGACTTGCAAGAGACTAAGCGTACCTTCAGCCAGTCGAGGGCGCCGTCTCTCACCAAGCGCATGGATGAGGAGTTTCTGAACATAGCTAGCACGCTCCAGTCAACCTTGCCCCAAGTCTCCCCACGTGACCTCTTCGCATACAACTGTCTTCCCTCCCCGCCATTTTGGCACTGGATCAAGTTATTGGCACCGACACTCACCGCCCAGGCAGTCGATCCGGCGAGCCACTCTCGCATCACATCGCAAACTGAGAAGAATCATAGTCCCACCTGGCTGTCTTGTCCCAATCATCTGAGTGTGAATTCACTGCGCTTGAACTACTTTTTGCGAGCACTTCAATGAAAGAGCGCGTCCTGTCGTAGCTGCAAGGAATGAAAGTGGGTTTCAGACCGAAAACATGCCGGACGTCTGGAAACCGCGGGGACCCCCGCCCCCCCGACAAAAGGGGTCCCACCCGCCCTCGGCCGGCAAACGACCAGGACGAGGACGAGGACGGACGGGGTCGAGGACGAGGACGAGAACGACAACGACAACGGCGGACGATGACGGACGACCAGCGACGACGACCAGCGACGACGACGACGACGACGACGACGACGACGACGACGACGACGACGAGGACGACCGCCGCCAGGGGGGAGTTGGTACCCCCCCTCCCGTCTTACGCGAGGAGGGGGTCGGTGGGAGAGACGTTTCTGTGTGAAGGGGGCGGTCGGCGGCTCCCGCTCTCCGTGCGCTTGGGCTGTTGGGGGAGATTTGGGGCCCCAGCCTCACGCGCGCCGCGGGGAGTCCTCCTCCCCCTCCTCCTCCCCCTGCTCCTGCTCCTCCTCCTCCTCCTCCTCCTCCTCCTCCTCCTCCTCCTCCTCCTCCTCCCCCTCCTCCTCCTCCTCTTCTTCCTCCTCCTCGTCCTCCTTCCTCCTCCTGCTCCTCCTCCTGCCGGGGCCCCTTCATCGACGTGCCCATGAAACGCGCCCTCTCACATCCAGGCTCTCGAGGCTCAGCGTGGAGTACCCA